TGGGAGATTTTTTCTGTGCATTGTTGAACAATGAAACATTCGCAGCGTGCGCGTTAACTAAAAGCCAAATTCTCCTGTCTCTCATTCCCCCTTAGCAGCCACTGGCATGTACATTGAGCACTATCTGACAAGAAAGGGTTGCTACGTTATACTCGATGAGTGCAACCTCCTTGGTTTTAGAAAGGTTTAGCGAGCTGGTTGGCGGTGTTTCTATATGAGGAATATATGATGAGAAGATGCGAGTTGGGCGTACTTCGAGTGTTTACTAGATGGACGAACGGACACACAGACAGATGCATGGACGGACGCACGGATGGCTTTACGGACGGATAAACGCATGGAAGAACGCAGGGACGGACGCACAGATGGACGTGCGGTCGCACGAACGGACGCACACACGAACGGTCGAAAGGACGCATGGGCGGCCATACAGACGCACGCATGGACGGACGGAAGCAAAAACGTATGGACAACAGATGCTTCGCCCTACTCTCCATCATTCGCTCCGTGGATATGCTGTCATTTTTGTTTTTCTTAGTGTCATTTTATAGTGATTATACCTTGAACATGCCAAGTGGTTGAAGGAGAGCCGAAATATTTTACATGGTTACTGCGTGTTCATGTTTGAAATATTCAAATAAAGGGTAACTAGTTCTGATAAAATTGCCGTTGAGTAATGGTGGGCTACGATTAGCAGATGGTTTCATACATTTTTTATTTTCCAGGGCAAACACACTGCGAGCTTCATGTTTGGGAAAGCGGTATAAAAAAAGAAGCTTATTTTTATTCTGTCAGAAAGGTATGCATACGGTTTTACAATATTTTCTGCTGGTGGAGAGAAGCCAGTGGTTGTTCTGTATACAAGCAACTGCGACAAAAATGAAACGTGATACGGCGCCTAATTCTTGTACCGGCCTTGACGATTCATCACATGACCGACTAAATCTGCACAGGCAGAAAACAGAAGTGTCTTTGGACACGTTGAAATAAAATAAACTTCATCACTGTTCATTCATGTTCACCTCATTGAAGAAAACGTTATTACAGTTACGAGACAACTGCAAAGTAAATGTGCACGTGGAAAGTTCTTGGTGTTTTTCATTTTTGGTATTGTTAGAATGTTGGGCCCCTGCACAGTTGCCCATAAAGTAGTGCGGCGAAAAAGCAATTGCACCCTCTCCTAACACCCATAGGATCCCATGAATTTGGAAAGAAATGAGGCGATACAATCTGCGCACAATTCTGCGCAGCATTTACCTCGCAATCATTCAACTCAGGCATGACATGGCTACACGCTGCACTGCAACTAGAAAAAGTCACAGTGCCACCAAGGCATCGTCCGAGGAATACGTTGCGAAATTTGGCTCTAAAACCATGCTGTCAAGTTCACAAGCTTACCATTGTTGCGCTACCCAGACGGGCATAACGTTAGAATGCTCCCCAATGCTTTTAGTTGAATAAACCGGGGCGCTATGCAGGATCGGTCAAGTTTCGCGAAAATCGAGATATTCCCGAGCTCTGGCGACACCCACTTATCAACGAGCCAACAGGACGAAAAAGTCGAATCCCCCCCTCGCCGCACTGCGTTTCATTGGTTACAAAGAAACCAGTCATCGAGTCTAGGACTGGTCGACTAAGTTAGGTGGTGCTTTCGATAAAGAGGCATTTTCTTTCATTTTTTTGCCGTTCTATTGAGCGCAGAAGTGAACCGATGCGATAAAAGTGTCAGAAAATTTTCGCACTAATATTTCTTTACAAGCACGGGGTGTTTGAATATATTTCGAAGCTTTTAATGCCTGCATTACGTCTGTTTTAGAATAATGAGCATGGTAGCCTCTGAGATCAGAACTGGTCGAGCGTCTTGCAACATCGCATTCACAGCTACACCCGAGGCCACGTTATAATCATCATGGTCAACCTGTGCATTCTATAGAACGTTGCTCGGCCAGTGCGCGTCGTCTTTGTTGTCATCGGCCGCTAGCGTGCACCCGAGCAAGTCCGGCCGGCTAATTAGCCATTTAGCTGGACGGTAAACTTGGCTAGTTAGGCCAGGACATGCTATGACCAATGTAATTACGTCAAGTAAAGGTAGGGCCGAAGTACGTATGCCTCGTCTTAAGAAGACCACGCTGATGAAGCTTTTCAAAGCTATAAACGGGATAACTGAAGCATGCTAAGGAATGACCTAACTAAAATATACTAATTAACGTGAAGTTAATTATGGACACGGTAAGTAAAATTATGCTAATCAGCCATTACTAAAATAATGACAATTAGCATCATACGGATCATAATTACTTTTATTAGCTCCACATTGATAATGACATTGCTAATTGCACCCGAGATAATTGCCTTTCAATAGAAGCTTTATCTATGAGGACAACACAGCTCAGTGTGTTGGTAGTTAAGCCCCAGTAAATTAGTACAATAAAAATTAAGGCAGAGCTGATACAGCCTTCACTTCGAAGCCGAGCACGCACATGAGTAGACGACCAAGTTAAAAAGCGGCAAGAAGCTAGGTTATCCAAGATCCTTTATGGCTCCAGCCTTGCACAAGTAGTGTGAGTACACCAACTTTTTTTTATACAACAAAGGTGCCGCTTAGCGTTGATTGATTTTGATTTACTGGTGGAGTTTAACGTCCCAAAACCCTGATATGATTATGAGAGACGCCGTACTGGGGTGCTCCAGAAACTTTCAACCACATGGCGTTCTTTAACGTGCCCCCAAATCTCAACTACACGGGCCTACAACATTTTTGCCTCCATCGGAAATGCAGCCGCCGCAGCCGAGATTCGATCCCGCGCCCTGCGGGTCAGCAGCCGAGCACCTTAGCCACTAAAGACCACTGCGGTGGGGCCAGAGTTTGTATCCGAGTTCATGCTTCAATCAGTTTGATTCACAGACGCCCATGGCAAAGGTTGGGTACGCCAACCACCTTTGCTCTTGTCGAGAAGCAGTACTGACGTCGAGAGGCTCGACTAATCTGACTGCTTTATCGCGCAGACTATGCACACATGCACGCAGAAGCTAAAGTGATATCAGCACGCGCCTACGATATCTCTGTATGAATTTTACATCACAAGTTGGTATAATAACTCTCCCTATACTTTCCTTGGCATTATTTTCTGTTAGATCTCATTAATATTGTGCCAAACACAGAAAAACGAACCTTAAGTATACAATTCTTCTTTTATTTGATTTACGGGGGTCCTCGTTACTGGTAAACTTAGTGCCTTTAGGTTGTATGCGAGGGACTGTTGGTCACCTGCCTGCTCGTAATAAGTTCACGAGCTACGTGATGCCAAACAGGCTCATAAAGAGTGTGCCACACTCGCCGCCATGGCTACTGGGGGCGCTGGCTGACACTGCCACGCTTAAATTCGCATAGCCGCCGTGGCAGCTCAGTGGTAGACCGTCGAACGAGTTCTCCGAAGGTTGCAGGTTCAGTTACTACCCACGGCAAGTTATCTTTACACCCACTTTTCTTTCTTCACGTTTATATTGCCTAATATATTGCCTTTTCTTTCTTCACGTTTATATAGTCTAATAACATTCCCTGTACTTTCTTTGGCATGATTGTTTCCGTTAGATATCATTATTATTCTGTCAAAGGCGGAAAATTTCTGCCCAAAATCCCACAGCCTGTCAAAGTCTTGACAAACACCGCGACAGGTTTTTCAACGGCCAGACCTTATTAACTGCAATAGTGCCCAGGAATGATACTGTGGTAGTAGCGCCGCTCAATTTCTAAATCATGTCAGCGCAAAGCGATATGAAGAAAAAATGTTGGGTAAGTGGCGTGAAGGATGGTTTGCGCAAAACAATTCGGGGGGGGGGGGGGGTTGAATCCCCCCTTGGCTACGTCACTGATTGGTGAGCGATTTCTTCATGAGCCGCGGGGCGGGTAACGCCCTGCATAAGAGACCATGCGATGCTTTGCTTGAAGCTTTGATAGGTTCCTCGCGTGAGCAGCAGAGGCGCATGAATCCGCCAAAAGGGCACCTGTGACTGTCATCATTTGCGATGAGAAGTCACGGTTTTTGACTTTGTAAACGGAGGGACCCTGGCTTCTCGACAGACAGTACAGACCTACGAGTAAGTGAGAGTTTTTCTAAATGGGATCATACGCAACGCTCAAGGACTTTCCTGCCTTGGAAGCGAGATTCATTTATTACAAAATGAGCGGTAGTTCTTCGCTGCAGAAGGAAAGGGACTTCTTTTTCTTCGGAATTATTGTGTTGAAACCGGAATGACGTTGTCTAGAAGAGAGTTTCATTCGCAGGCTGCTGCTCTACCATCGCAATAAAGCAGCAACCTTTTTTGAAAAGAATACCTCGGCCGTAAAATAAGGTTACTCTTTTTCCTAAGCAATTATTGCAAGTAGGTATGAACAATGTAATTTAGTCGCAACTCAATGTAATAAAAAATTAGTCACAACAGTCGTCACTTACGGAATATCATCATTCAGGAAATTAAGTATTGCAGTACCTGCATTCTCGCATCTTTTGCCTTCAATACTTCTTTCAAGTTTTTTCTATGTGTTTCCAAAATATCACTTGCTTTCTTTTAAAGAAAATTGAATCTTAGCATTTGCGTTTGGAAATTTCAGCGCACGAATTCTGCTATCTATACTATAGCTGCGATAATTACCATGAAAGAAAACGAACAGCTTGAAGGTGTTCCCACACGAGGCACGCATGGAACAGCGGGCAGTTCAGCCCGAGAAAATAAAGCTCTGTCTTTCTTATTTCGGCCCCTGTGTCATTTTTGCGGGTTTCAGCCGACCAGTGGCCATGAGCTAACATTTGGCGCCCAAATGAGGCCCACCCGCAAGGTTCAAAAAGAATTTTCCCTGATGAGTCGTTAATTAAAGCATACAATGCCACACATTGCCTAAAAACTTTGGTGGAAAATGTGGATGATTGCATAAGATCATGTAGGTAAGCTTTGACACATCAGCTAGTTGCTAGGCGTTCACAGTATCTCAAGTAGTTTCTTTACTGCAGGCTACTTTTCCTCGGTTTCACCTCTTTTTACGCTGATATTATGACTCCTTCCCCGCCACCGTTGACCAAGCAGCCGCCATGATAAAGAGCCACCGTGGCTTGCTTACATGCCATAGCCTTGTAGGGGTGAATGGTAGTAATTAGATGGAGCATATTCTTACAAGAAAACGTATATTTACAGATATTTACAACGATTACACGCGATGACAATGCCTGGCGCACTGGCGGGCTGGAACCAGTATCTATCCACTTCGTAGTCTTTTTTTTTTTCAGCCAGGGACCCTCTACCGCTTTATGCCCCAATCCCACTACTGCCTTGTGGCACTACCCCGCGGCGTCAAAGCGCCGACCCGGCGCTTGTCACGAAAGGGGAGTGTTGGGTGACACATAAGGCTTCAGTCTTACGACGTGCACAACAGTGGATGGTGGTGGCATTGAGTGCGCTTCGTCGACGACTCGCTGTACTTCGTAGGTGAGGTTGGTGATCTTGCGCAGGACTTTGTATGGTCCGTCATAGCGAAATAAAAGTTTTTCTGAGAGGCCGATGTGACAACATGGGGTCCACAAGAGTACGAGAGAACCTGGTGCATACGAAACTTCGCGGTGGTGACGATCGTATCAATCTTTCTGAGAGGCTTGAGAAAGCATGAGTCGTTCTCGGGCAATCTGTCGTGCTGCGTCGGCTCGCTCTATGGCATCGCGGACGTATGTGACAGGGGAGCTTGAACCAGCGGGAAGGAGTGTATCAAGAGGCAGAGAGGGTTCCCGTCCATAAAGAAGGTAGAACGGGGAATAGCCTGCGGTGTCATGTCTGGAGGAGTTGTAAGCGAAGGTGACGTAGGGTAACGTTGCGTCCCAGTCACGGTGGTCTGGAGAAACATACATTGACAACATGTCCGCTATAGTGTGATTCAGGCGCTCTGTAAGTCCATTAGTTTGTGCATGGTATGCCGTTGTGAACTTGTGGTTCGTGGAACAGGAACGTACGATATCCTGGACGACGCGAGATAAAAAGTATCGGCCTTGGTCAGTAACGAGCTGTCGAGGAGCGCCGTGATGCAATATGATGTCATGTAGCAGAAAGTCGGCGACATCGGTAGCGCAGCTGGTTGGAAGAGCGCGGGTGATCGCGTAACGTGTCGCGTAGTCGGTCGCCACGGCAACCCATTTGTTCCCGGATGCAGAAGTGGGAAATGGCCCGAGAAGGTCGAGCCCTACGCGGTAGAATGGTTCAGCAGGGATCTCAATAGGGTTTAGAAGGCCAGCTGGAAGCGATGTTGGTCGTTTTCGACGTTGACAAAGGTCGCAGCTGGCGACATACTTTTGCACAGAGCCATATAGGCGTGGCCAGAAAAAACGGCGCCGGACGCGATCATAAGTGCGAGTGACTCCCAGGTGACCAGCGGCAGGTTCATCGTGAAGCTGTCGGAGAACATCTACACGCAAATGGGAAGGCACGACGAGAAGGTGGTCAGGGCCATTAGGGCGCATGTTGTGGCGGTAGAGAACTCCTTCATGAAGGAAATACAAGTTCAGAGAAGTGGGTGGAGTAGCGGAACTCAGGCTTTCTATGATGGGAAGTAAATTTGGGCCGCGGCGTTGCTCAGAAGCGATATCAAGAAAGTCTGATATTGATAAGACGCAAGCCTCCGTAGCTCTCTCTATGGCGTCTGGTGGATCCACTGGATACCGTGACAGGCAGTCGGCGTCTTGATGGAGGTGACCAGATTTATACACGACCGAGAAGGTGTATTCTTGGAGGCGTAGAGACCAACGACCGAGACGTCCCGTGGGATCCTTTAGCGAGGAAAGCCACCAGAGTGCATGATGATCAGTTACAACAGTAAAACTGCGGCCGAAGAGGTACGGGCGAAATTTAGCGACAGCCCAAACAAGAGCAAGACACTCTCTTTCGGTGATGGTATAGTTCCTCTCGGCAGGGGATAAAAGGCGGCTGGCGTAGGCGATGACACAGTCACGTCCATGCTGACGCTGAGCTAAAACAGCACCAATTCCGTGGCCACTCGCGTCCGTACGAACTTCTGTCGGGGCAGTCTGATCGAAGTGGGCTAATATTGGCGTAGTTGTGAGGGCTGCAATGAGCGCCGAAAATGCAGCACTCTGAGGCGAGTTCCAAGTAAATGGGACGTCTTTTTTAAGAAGCTCGGTGAGAGGCCGCGCAATATCGGCGAAATTTCGGATGAAGCGGCGAAAATAGGAGCACAAACCAAGGAAGCTCCGGACATCCTTATGAGAAGAGGGCACGGGAAATTGAGTCAATGCGCGAACTTTGTCCGGATCGGGCTGTACTCCAGATGCGTTAACGAGGTGACCAAGTACAGTTATTTCGCGACGGCCGAAACGGGATTTGGAAGAGCTCAGCTGGAGACCAGCGTTGCGAAATACTTGGAGAATACTGGACAGTCGCTCTAGATGGCTTGCGAACGTCGGTGAAAAAACAATTATATCATCCAAGTAGCATAAGCAAGTGGACCATTTGAAGCCGCGCAGAAGGGAGTCCATCATGCGCTCAAAGGTGGCCGGCGCATTACAAAGCCCAAACGGCATTACTTTGAATTGGTATAACCCATCGGGGGTTACAAATGCTGTTTTTTCTCGGTCCCGTGGGTCAACAGCGACCTGCCAATAACCAGATCGAAGGTCAATGGACGAGAAAAACTTTGCGCTATGAAGGCAGTCAAGGGCGTCATTAATTCTTGGTAAAGGGTAAACGTCCTTCTTAGTGACCTTGTTGAGATGTCTATAGTCGACGCAAAACCGCCATGTGTTGTCCTTCTTCTTGACAAGCGCGACCGGGGATGCCCACGGACTAGATGAGTGTTCGACGACGCCTTTGGCGAGCATTTTCTCGACCTCTTTCTGGATGACAGAGCGTTCGGCAGTGGAGACGCGGTAAAGGCGGCGATGAATTGGGTTGGCATCGCCGGTGTTGATGTGATGGGTCACAACTGATGTCTGGCCTAAAGGGCGGTTGTCAAGATCGAATATGTCCGCATAGGATGTCAACAGACGGTGGAGGTCTTGTGCTTCGGAGGGCGAAAGATCTGGCGCTATCATTTTGGCAATGTCAATGCTTGACAGGTTGGGCGCAGTGAGCAAGTTGACGTGCGGAGTATGTTGCTGAGCTGACAGTTCAGAAATATCACACTCTTGCAACGACGACATGACGCCTAGTTTAATGCCAGCAGGCAGCACATGCGTGGAGAAACCAAAGTTCAAAAGAGACAGATGGGTCTGATTGTGGCATACTCTCACCACGGTGTGCGGGACAGCAATGGAGTGCTTTAGCACAACGTCGGTAATAGGTGAAACGACATATTCACCATCGCGCACAGGCGGATCACACACGAGCTGCACGTAAGTCGCGGCTTGCAGCGGAAGATGCAGGAACTCGGTGGCACAAAGGCGACTTTGAGCGTCATGGGCAACAGCGGCGTCAAAAGGCAGTTCCAACTGAAGAAGACCCGTCGAGCAGTCGATAAGGGCGGAGTGCGCAGAGAGAAAGTCGAGGCCAAGAATCACATCATGTGGGCACTGCTCAAGCACGGTGAACAATACGACGGTCTGGCGCCCAGCAATACATACGCGAGAGGTACACATTCCGAGAACGGCAGATGTGCTCCCATCGGCAAGCATTACTGCACATTTAATAGGAGGCGTGATCACTTTTCGCAGTTTAATACAGAGAGCAGCGCTCATGACTGAAATTTGTGCACCAGTGTCTATGAGGGCTGTAACGATAACGTCATCCACCAAAAGGTCCAAAATATTGCGGCGTGTAGGAATCGTCAACAGAGGATTTGCAGAATGGGTCGTTAATGCAGCGTCACCTTCGGGAGCTGCATGGTCTAGTTTCCCGAGGTTGAGGGCCCAGGTCGTGCAGGCGACCTGGATCGAGAATTCATCGGCGAGAGAGATCGGCGGCCTTGGGGTGATGGTGACCAGCTGAACCTTCGGCCCTGAACGTTAGTAGGAGCAGGCTGTTGATCGTACGGAGTAGAAAAGCGGCGAGAACTGCCTTCAAAGCGACGCCATGTCCCAGTGTTCCAAGATGAATTGGATGACCAACGATTGCGATAGTAGCGTGCAATGTGGCCGGCGCGAGAGCAGTGAAAGCAGATCGGTCTGTCATCCGACGTTCTCCATTCAGCAGGGTTCCGGTAGCGGGAAGGGTAGCGTGAAGGGTACACCGGAATCTGGTTAACAGAAGCCGAGCTCTCGGTCGTGCGAACAGCGTAAACAGGTGTGATGCCGACATTTGCTATTTCTTGGCGAACGACGGCTTGGATGAGGGAGACGGTGGATGCGTTGTCTTGAGGATCGTCAGAGGCGATGGCTGCAGGAGCCATTGCTTCGAGTTCGCGACGAACGATTCGGGTGACATTTTCGGATGTTGTAGCTTGCGTGAACTTGGGGCTGTCTTCACAGGTCGAAGTGGCTGCAGTATTAGGCAGACGCGCAAACTGGCGGGTTATGCGACGGTTCTTGGCGTGCTCGAAGCGCTGACACTCCTTCACAACCGCGTCGACGGTGGCGCAATCTTTAACGATCAACAGATTGAAGGCGTCATCGGCAATTCCCTTCAATATGTGAGCGATTTTGTCAGTTTCGCTCATGTTCTCGTCCACCTTTCGACAGAGGCCCAATACGTCCTGTATGTAAGATACATACGATTCTGTCGATGTCTGCACGCGACATTCCAGGTCTTTCCTCGCGGCCTGCTGTCGCCCAAATGGCCTGCTGAATAACTCGAGAAGCTTCAGTTTGCAAATGTTCCAGCTGGTCAACTCCGACTCATGCGTCTCATACCAGGTGAGCGCCGTATCCCACAAGTAAAATACAACGTTGGCCAGCATCAACATAGGGTCCCACCTATAGTATTCGCTCACGCGCTCGTACAAAGCGACCCAATCTTCAACATTCACCTTGTCCTTGCCTGTGCCCGAGAAGGTTCCGGGGTCTCGTGGAGGCAGGAGAATCAGAGGAGGCAGCTGCTGCTGGTGCTGGTGCTGCTGGTGCTGCTGGTACTGCTGGTGCTGGTTCTGGTGCTGCTGCTGCTGCTGCTGCTGCTGCTGCTGCTGCTGCTGCTGCTGCTGCTGCTGCAGCTGCGGCTGCTGTTGCTCTTGTGGGTGGGCCTGTTGAGCCATTGCAGGAAAATGAAGGTGGCGACCACTCCGAAGTTCCGTGTTGGTTTGCCGGAAAAGCCAGGTAGGCGTACCCCGCACCTCCACCAATAATCTTTCAAGAAAACGTATATTTACAGATATTTACAACGATTACACGCGATGACAATGCCTGGCGCACTGGCAGGCTGGAACCAGTATCTATCCACTTCGTAGTCTTTTCTTTCAGCCAGGGACCCTCTACCGCTTTATGCCCCAATCCCACTACTGCCTTGTGGCAATATCGTCATTAGAACACTACCTGAGGTTCACTCAAAGCGTAAGCCCGAGTTCGAGAGCAGACCAACTCTATCCGGGTGTTTGGAGAGTGGCATTGCGATGAAGTTATGCACAGGCATATCACAAATCTTGTTCATAATTGATATACCTTATTGCAAGAAAAGTGTGCAAACAAATGACAAACGCAGTTGCAAACCACTCCTGCATGCGGTGTTAAAATTTTCGTGAACGAAGCATTTAGGGCTGCAGTTTATATTCGCAATTTCATTGTTTTGTTCATCTTCACAAGTTAGTCTAGAAATTAGCTGCACATTGTTGCCAGCGTTATGCGACCTACCACTGTGAGGATTCTCGCAGGCTGGACACCGCTCGACTACGCGTTAACGTGTCGCAGAGTAAAGTTGGAATTGTTTTCAAGAGGCGCTGCCGCAGTCTCCCTTAGTGGCTTCCCTCGAAGGGACTGAGCGCGCCCGATTTGCAGACACTGAGTGCACCCGTAATCGACACTGAGTACGTCTGCCGGAGCGCGTCCTTCAGAGACTCCAGATGCGTCTAATGTGCTGTTATTTTTTTTTTTCGAAGCAGCCTAAAGTAATAGCGTAGGGTAGATCACCTTAATTCCACGGATATGGTGTGGGTCAGTTCCCATTTGAAACTTACACATTTATCATTTATTTTCTTTAAATATTTTTCTGTTTTTTTTTTATCTTTCTGTCATGAACAAGATACTTTTTTGCTCAGAGCCCACGACACCGACAGCAAACTTTCTCCGTAATAAGCTCTCTAACACCGTTGCCTTATAGTTATCCAAGAACTTTTCTCACAAAAAAACAAAAAATTACACATTTGTCAAAGGCACACACAGAACCATTTCTAAGATTAGTATACATAAATATTCTAAGACTGCGCTTTGCCGTAGCGGAATATTTTGAAATATTACTTTCTTCACAGAAGTGTGTTTGTGCTTAAGACGCTTTTTTTGCCTGTGCCAGCAACGCTGGGGAAAATATAGCCGCACTCAGTACTTGCTAAAATTGATTTTTGCGCTGACTCCTATCTTACTACAATTTGATGGGCTCAATCATGGGTTTTAAGTGAGCGCTTTGGTGAGCTGCTCATTTTTTCACACCGTAGTACGGTCATTTTTCGCTATATTTAGAAGAAAATCACAATTTGGGGCTTGTATAAGGTACTATGTGGTAGGAGCGTTATTTAATCGCACTCTTACGAACGTAGGCATTCACATAAAAGTCGGAAAAGAGTGTCGCAAAAAGTACTCCTTCTAGCGCGCCAACCAAGGCTAGTATTCTTGATATACCGCAGTCCAGGACCACTGCTACCAGCGCGTGAAACGATAAAATCACGAACTGCACAATCTGGAACAACGTGACGTACTTCTTCCACCAGAGATTCAGCCGGAGCGCCGGTCCGAGAGCGGCGAGGGCGTAGTACCCGTACATCACAACGTGCACGGCAGAGTTGAGTAGCGGGAACGCGAATACATGACCCGTCATGCCGAGCGTCATCACCAACCACACAGACCACAGGGCGAGGGAGTGATGCAGCAGGTGCAGGAAGCTCACGTGGTTCGTCTTCTTTCGCAGAACGAAGAAGAGCGTATCGAGCATCTCGGCGGCTTTCATGAGCATGTAGTACCACGCACGAGTTAGGAAAAACATGTTGTCCTCCGTTGGTCGTGGGTCTGTGGCCCAGCAAAAGACGCTCTGGTTGGGCCTTCGCATCCAGGTGTACAGGATGGAGAAGTAGATGAAGTAAACGCTGAGTCCCATCATGACGACGTTGTAAAATACAACTAAACTACGCATATTGAAAGGCTTACGGTCTCTCATGGCCCATGGTCCAATGCGAGTAGCGAAAATCAGGTAGAGGCTGATGACAGCCACAATTGGCAGGGGGCTGCCCATGAAAAACCACGTACGCGTGCGGGGATCAGCCAGGTGGACATAGTGCTCGTGTAGTCTATGAAATGGCGATGTGGACGTATTCATGGCTCTCTTGATTGACTGCGTGAGGAATGCTGCAATTCTCTTTTATACGCCCTGGGTCCGTGTCCAGCGAATTTTATTATCCACGAGGACAGCAGAGGTAAGCAAAATCACTTTGCCACTGAACCGAGGTACATTAAGATGAGCCCTACGTCGGCCCGAAAGGACTTCCTCTAGCCGCACTGCGGTTCACACTTGAGCGCCCACTTCGATCGCACAGCTTCATGCCCGTCAGCGACGTGCGTCAGTCACTTTGTTTGATCGCGGCTGGCGTATGACACGAAGTCTTTAGACACGCGTGTTGACTACGAAATTGTTTCGGTGTTTCCACTCCGCGACTGCCAGACTTGGCGTGCGCAAGCAATGGCCTTGGATATCCTTACTGCATTGGTAACTCCTGAATCAGCCCTTATCTGGTGTTGAGCGCTTTAGGGTAACATTACGGGGGTAAAGACGAGCTGATGTTGAATCCCTATATATCACAGTTCTTCTTTTTCATGTACTGAATACGTCACGTTAATGTTACCTGTGGTACTCATGTACCTGTGCCTGAATTATAAGAAAAGAGAGAGAGAATTTATTTACAAACTGGTAGAGAGGTTGGCCTAAGCTATACCATGCTGAATGCACCGGTTCTCATCCGGAATTATAAATTTTCATGCAGGTTGCTTTAGAAAATACTTACAAAATTATGCTTTTGAGATCATAATAAGAAGCACATATGCAATTGCTGGGTGCTAAAACTGACGCAGAATTTTTGGCGACACTGCTTAGTGAAGTTTATGATGACCAAAAAGATCCACTGTAAATCATTTTCACCCTTCTGCCTCACGCATTTTTGAGAATGAAGGTGAAACGTTGCCTTGCTTCCTTAAGTAAGCTTTGATTTGCGTAAGCGTTAGCGTTTTTCTAAAACAGGTTTTGCTACACAACCACAGTGAAATGAATCGGGCAAACAATTAGTCAAGAGAAAGCAAAGCGAACAAAAATTCTTGCGCTTAAAGGGGCCCTGGAACACTTCAGGAGCATGGCCAGAAAACGCTACCGATTCGTATAGTAGAGGCTCCAGATAACACGCGAGCCAAATAATATAGCGCAGTACGCTGCCTGGAATTCACAATAAATCATCAATGTCAGTTAGAAATAACTTTCTTTTCTCTCAATAAATCATGGAAAACAAGCCCAGTAAGACCATATATCAGCCATTGGCTGATTTGAACGTGGCACGCTCGGTTGTTACAAATGTGGCGTCTAGAGGCCATCACTTGTCCACGCGTGCACGTGCTGATCGCACTGAAAAGCCGTATATTTGAAGAAAAAAAAAGGACAAAATATAGCTCAAGGTCACGAGGCGCGAGTGACATTTATGTGCGCTCCCTCCCATCCTTGCCTGCTCAGCTGCCAGCGCTTTCGTCGGGACGAAAGAAGAGAGAACGTGATTGCAGCGTGTGACAAATCTTTGTAACTCCGCTCGTACTGGACGGATTCTGAAACTTTATGCGGCGTCCAATTTGTGAGGTAATACGCTTTTCTAGTGAATTAATTCCATGGCTACTCAGAAAAGTTTTTCGGGCCTTTTTCAGGTGCAGTTAGAATTACAAGATAAAATAAAAAAAATTATGTAAGCGGAAAAAAATATACAGATCTCACGTACCTGGGAATCGACGTCACGCGAAGCATGTGGAGTAAATGTGACCATGTTTCATTTTTTGTTGACCTAGACTTCATGAAATGACGCTAAATATATGTACAAATGTTGCACGCACAGACATATCTAGAAGAGTAGCAGATAATTTTACAACCAGTTGTTTGCACTTGCGCAACGATGTCAACTGGAACATGCGTATTAGCAACACCACGAGCTGATATGAAGCACTGATGCTCGCGGAGATGCTGTACCTGGACACTGCTACCTAAATCAACTTCAGCGCACGGCAATTAACCCCAAATGACGTCTAACCCAACCACGTAACGGCTGTTTCAAAGGAAGTACATATGTAATGTTTATAAAATAGGTTGCTGCACTGCAACCAGTATTGACATTTCACGAAGGTTAGATCTATCTATCTATCTATCTATCTATCTATCTATCTATCTATCTATCTATCTATCTATCTATCTATCTATCTATCTATCTATCTATCTGTCTGTTGTTTGTCTGAAAGCACTTCAGTTGAAGAAGCAGCCACTTAACTCGTGCATCCGAACAATTTAGTTTTTTTAAGGAATGAGCACGTTAGGTCAATAACTCTTCTCATTCGTAAGGTTTCTCAATAACATACATATATTGGAACCTCAATTAATGAAACAGAATGCAAAGTAAACAGTGGGATATACTTCATGGTTCAACCAAGGAGGAGCTACAAAAAGAAGTACCATAACCAGTCTGATCAGTCGTGTCATCCTTGCAATGGCTAAAATGTTCAAGGATCCTTCAATATTGTTTTATCTAAAAGTATTGTTTCGCCTTTTTGAGTACGGGAAGCCACCCCGCTCAGCGGGGATTCAGAAGACCGAGGTGTAGGGTCGTCCAGCGAGCCAAGACCTATTGTCAATGACCTAGAAAGATGTTTCTCTAACAGTGGATACCTGGTAGCCTAGCACGGGGCACAACCGTTGGGCCGATAACGTTTACTCAGCTTAACTGCTGTTATCACTAACTTTATTTTTTCACTCTATCTATTTTTAAAGACGATAGCCTTTCTTGGGGACCTTCGACGTAAAAACTTTGGTCTGTCTGTCTGTCTGTCTGTCTGTCTGTACAATTGTATGTTTGTCCGCCCTAACGATACCTCGAACGGCCTCAAACGGCCAACCCCATTCGCAGCGCCCCCCAATATTGCTCAAGGTTTAGCGTTTATAGTTGTGCAAGTGTCAATTAAAAAGCAAATATTGCGCATATTTCAGGCACCACAAGAATGCTTCGTCGTTTTGTATGTCTCCTTTATACTAGAAGAGACACACACGAGTAACTATGGAATGTGGCATTTATCGCGTTGCGCTGACAGTGCAACGCGATGCTCAAAAAGGTGTTTCCAACGCTTTACTACGACGTCACGGCGGTGGCATCTGCCATCACTTTGCGTTGTACACCTTATCACCTCGGAGACTGGCGCGAATCTTTCTCCGCGGTCTGCACGTCTTAGTTTTCGAAGATAACTGCCGGATAGCGCTTGTGTTTAACGTTCGCCTCCGCTACACGTTCGAGGCACTCTAATGTAGTGTGTCCAGAATTCCATTAACCGACTTTCTTGCGCAGAACATCAAATAAACGTTTTGTTCAATCTCTCCAGACGCAAGACCTTTCGATGACATTTGCGGTGTAACATGCAGATTTGGAACCATTTTTTTTTCAGAACAGCTCACAATTCATTCGGTTTCATAATTTGTTTTGCTGAATAGTAAATTTTAAAGCAAATTTCAGGAAAATAAGTTTGTATCGTAAGCAATTTTATTTGTGCTAACAATATTCATCAAAGTATATGTGCATCCGAGAAACGCAGTGAAGTCAATAGCGCAAGAAGAAATGAGGACAGGGAAAGGCGTGACACAGACAGGTTCGAACTTGCTATTGATCGAATCAGCCTCGGTTATTCCTCGCGTTGGCTGACTCCTACTGGTACTGTCATTTGAACAACCTTAAAAAATTGACATATACTCTCTATAAATCTAAACTTGGTATGCTACCAAAATTACTAGAATGTCTGCAGTGGGTAACGACGAACCCATCCCATTTTTGAGATGACTGGTGGGCGGATCCTGCAAACCATGCTGCCAAGATAACTCGTGATGTCACATTCTTGCTAGAACGCCGCACCGTTGTCGGAACGGCAGCGTCAACGCAATGACTGTAGGAGCCCGTGGCTATCCTTCATCATTCTTCAGAAAAGCGTGGTATCCGCTACACACTTGCTAGTGCAGTGGCGAATTCACAAGGCAAGGACCAGTGGGACGACCTCTCGGTATAAAACTGCCTTGCAGTAGGAATATTGTGCAATAATTTTATGCAGTGGCTGACGACGATTAAGAATTATGTCTGAAATGGGTTTGATTGGTATCTGGGTTTAACGTTCCAAACCACCATATGGTTATGAGAGACGCCATAGTGGAGGGCTCTGGAAATTTAGACTACCTGGGGTTCTTCAGCATGCACCCAAATCTGAGCACACGGGGCTAAACATTTCCGCCTCCATCAGAAATGCAGCCGCTGCAGCCGCGATCCGATCCCGCAACCTGCGGGTCAGCAGCCGAGTACCTTAGCCACTAAAGCACCGCGGTGGGGTCTGAAGTGGTATGAGCCACAGTTAATAGGTGAACAAGATTAAGCTTTTGCAATTGGTTGGATCAATGGACGACCACTCCTTACGCAATTCGCCTGGTTGTTCTTTTGGTGTTCTAAAACACTTTATTACCCACCAGCAAGATTTCTTTCCTGGCTAACCTCCCTGTCCTTCTCATTCATTCCTCCCCTCTTCTTTCCTGAAACAAGCCCGGCTAAGGCCAGTTTTGAAATGAGTTTGAAGCACCGGCATGGCTCGGTAAAACATTACTATGCTGGCAGGTAGCGGACGCGGGTTCGAATCTCATTGTGTTCTTGTCTTCCCGGGATGGCCCTGTAAGCTTCACGAATATCTTCCTAAATGTAGAGGATGCCAAGTGGAAGTATATTGCCAAGTGGCGGATTTTTTGAAAGCGATAATCACTAGAGAGTATTAGTGTTTATTATTCACTACAAATTTTTAGGCACACGCGAACATTGCAAAGCAAGTTATATGTTTAGTTATTTTTTGTTATGAGCGATTTCATTAAAGGGCACCTTACACGAACACTTGTAAGTAAAAGGCTCAAGGTACGCTGATTAAAAAGCAGTATGTTGGAAGGGCATAAAAAAATCTTTCGTCTCTGCAAGAAGGGCAAAATAAATGCTATATGATAATCCATAAATATTGTAAACAAATAACCGAAAGTGTATGCACGAGCAATAGGGCCACATTTCGGTATCA